TGACATTAGAAGGAGAATGTTGAGTCTGAGTTCAAAGTTAAAACAGGTTTCGCCTAAATTCACAATCTCTGAGAGTCAGATGGGCTTATACAGTATTATAGAGTTGGTTAACTACTTTTGAAATGTTTTTAAAGTTTTCTATTGAAATATTTTTGTCAGTCCTTGAGTCTCAATTCTGACTAGCAGGTGGAATGTAACATTGCAGTGGGGCTGGGTGCAGTGACTCACGCCTGTAATCCCAGCACTTTGGGAGGCCGTAGTGGCCAGATCACCTGAGGTCAGGAGTCTGAGACCAACCTGGCCAACATGGTGAAACCTTGTCTCCACTAAAAATGCAAAAAATAGGTGGGTGTGGTGGCGGGTCCTATAATCTCATACTTAGGAGGCTGAGGCAGGAGAATCACTTGAATCTGGGAGGTGGAGGTTGCAGTGAGCCAAGATCGCACCTTCGTACTCCAGCCTGGGGGACAAGAGAGAATCTCCATCTCGAAAAGAAAAAAAAAAAAAGAAAGAAAGTGCAGCGGTTACATTCAGCAGCCACAGGGCTGTTCCTCCCCATCCTACATGTCTTCTCATGGTCTCCAGCATGCACTGCCTATGATGTACTGTGGTAGTTTTATTTTCACAAGTCATTCTAGCATTTCCTGTCCTGAGGAGCCCTAATTTAGATTTCACAGAGAGGCTGACACTGTTCTCCTCACTTTGACAGTGGTAGGAAGAGAAATGATGTATCCTGTGCCTAGGAGAGCTCCTGAAAAGTGTCAGACACTGAGTATCTGTTGTGGAATGAGATGAATGATTGGAGGGAATGCATGGGTTTGTAGAAACACATGATCTATCTTTCTCTTCTCAGTTACTTGCTCCTTTATTCCAGCCTCTTCTTACTGGCATTGAGAAATACAGGACAAAAATGAGGTAGATATCTGGTTTTCCAGAAAGAAGGATTTTAAACAGGATAGCATCCATTTGCTTTATTTTCCTTCTAATGATATTAAACAGAGATACGGAATAGAAATGAATAATGTAAGGCCAAGCACAGTGGCTCACACCTGTAGTCCCAGCACTTTGGGAAGTCAAGGCGGGCGGATCATGAGGTCAGGAGTTTGAGACTTGCCTGGCCAATATGGTGAAATCTCATCTCTATTAAAAATACAAAAATTAGCTGGGCATGGTGGCGTGTGCTTGTAGTCCAAGCTACTTGGGAGGCTGAGGCAGAAGAATCATTTGAACCCAGTAGGCAGAGGTTTCAGTGAGCCGAGATCATGCCACTGCACTCCAGCCTGGGTAACAACAGAGTGAGACTCCGTCTCAAAAAAAAAAAAAAAAAAAAAAAAAGAATAAAGTAGGTTGGATTTTAGAGGAAACAGGGAAGAGGAGCCATGGTCAATAGTGAATCACATTCACTCAGCAACACCAAGGTGGAGGCAACAAAATTGACTGTTATAGACAGGAGGGTTCATGATGGGTTCTCCCCACTCTTGCCTGGTTTCTCAGTGGCCAGTCAGTGATGGGGATGAGCACTATAGCTCATGGCCACAGGAAGGAAGCCCACTTTAGCAACATGACTATGCTCTTTGCTCATGAGGTATCAGTACACCGAAACCCAATTATTAAGGACTTTTTGGCTAAGAAGGAGGTCATGCAACTGGAATGGGCCAGTGGAGGTTGGTGACACAAGTTAGTCCTTGGTGAATGAAGTCATTAGAATCAACAGCTGTGCTTTCCTTCAATTTCCACCTTGGTTGAACCTGTAAAGAAAATGGTGTAAAGTAACATTCCCTATTTACTGTTCCTTGCCCTCTGATGTTTGTTGACTCATTCATTCTTGCATTCAACAAATATTTCTTGAGCACCCAATAAGTTGTCAGGCACTATCCTAGGTACTATAGATGTAACAAAGAACAAAACAAAGTCCCCGTCCTCAGCGAGCGTACAGTCTAGTATGAGGACCTGGTGACATATATCATGTGATAGAACTTTTTTGAAAAGCTGGCAAGTCATCATTCTATCCCAGCTCTCAGAATTATGCCAGTGGCTGAGTTCAATGGCAAAAGAGAAGTGGTAGTTGAGAATGTTGGGGGAAATCAGACAGGGGGATCACATTTTCAGGGGATATCAAAAGTTCCATGGTGGCCCTAGAAGAAAAGTCCTCACGGTTATTGCTTCTGGTGTACTCCCTGTGGCATTCTAAGGTGGTTCTTCTCACCGCCTTAGAATTCTCTGAGCATGTTCATCTCAGCTTTGCTCTGGAACTCTTGTAATTGGTGAGGAGTCTCAGGATGTCCAGCTGGAAATGCAACCCTCAGGGTGTTTTGTTCCCCAACTCAGGAAGCACCAAGGGGTGAAGCGTAAATGCTTCACTTCATGTTCACCTACTTACACATATCATACATAGCTATCAATGAGCATTTCATTGTGCTCTTTTCTGAACTATCAGCATTTAATTCTACTAAGGAAATGAAAGCGGTTGGACCTGTTACTAAGGATACTTGTCAGAATCTGCTCTATTATTTACTTTTTGTGTTGATACATGTTTAGCCAGGTAACCGTGCAAAGGAATTACACCACTGCCTTCCACCTCTTATTAAAAAAACTCTTGAAAAGTTTGGTTCAAATCTCAGTCTTGTAAATGTTTACTGCTGGACAATTTGATCATTCATTCACGAAAGAGAAGCAGTGTGACATGCCTAGGAAACTATACACTTTGTAATATGCCACAGCCTCTTCAAGCAAATCAAGAATACCAAGACTCACTCAGATAAGAAGTTAGTTTTTGCTTCACTGGCTTCTTCAGAGAGACTCACAAGATGCCTCATTATTTTTGTGATTTATTTCTGGGCTTCTCACTTATGCCTGTCATACAGCCAAACGTGAGCTGTTGCAGATAATAGTTTATTGGCCATGGAGAAAATCCTCAGGCTTGATGGAACTCCAGGATGATACCAGATGAACAGGAAGGAACATCAGGATGCCAAAAAAGTCCTTATTTACGGAGAAAAGGAAGCTGGCTGCTTATGTGTTCAAGAAAGAAATAGATGCCTCTTAAAAGTATTGAAATAATCCTGCAAAGTGTATTGCCTTAATTTGACAATACAGTGATAACACATTTTAATGTAACAAACTCAATAATTTAGTAAGAATATAAAATGGAAAAAGTTAAATATTCAGAACTTATCAATCACAATTCATTTTTTACAGGAATGTCAATCAATGAAAAGCTTAAATACATATTTATAAGCTTGCAGGCCAAAGATTATGTTGTTAGAAATACATAATGTATGTACTGTTCAATCCACATATACATGTATAAATATATGCATATACACACATATGCAAGTTAAATCTTGAATGTCATATTTTGGATACTTCTGAGTAAACTTATGAGCTTCTGCTTGATGTGAAGCAAAGCACATCACATATACCTAAAGTAAAATTTTTGGGTATATAAACACAACTATTTAATACCTAGACAGTTGTACATTATTGAGTTTCTAGTTCAGGATAAATACCTTCTGTCAAAGACGGAGTCAGAAATTCATAACTCTCAGATAGGCAGTTAAGACACCTGTATTTTGATCCTGGCTTTACATACGGGCATTTTGGGAAAATTTTTTTTAATGTTTTTTTAAACCTCTCAAGGGTCTAACTTTGCCCATCATAAAATAATTTTGGTGTAAGGGTAGGGGCACTTTTTATTTATTTGGGATACCATGCAGATGCAACCTAGCCCCATTCTTTACACAAAGTAGAGTATCTGTGCATTTCTTCTGCATTGATATTGAATGCAGGACAACTGGGGACAATTCATTCCATTTGGTAATAATCTTTAATGAACAGGCAATATATAACATTTCTGAAAGTCTCTAAGCACTCATTTAATTGTATAAAAGGACTGTCACTATCAAAGACAGTGCCTAATTCTTAAAGTAGTTATGAGGACTAAGTAAGGTAGTAGATGGAATGTGTTTAGAACACAGAATAGTAAGCACTCCAATTTTAGTGATGATGATGATAGTTATTTTTATCACTACTACCATATACTATGCTGGTAACTAGAATAAAAGTTAAAACAGCCAGCCAGGCGTGGTGGCTCATGCCTGTAATCCTAGCACTTTGGGAGGCCAAAGGTAGGCAGATCACCTGAGGTCAGGAATTCGAGACCAGCCTGACCAGCATGGTGAAACCCCATCTCTACTAAAAATACAAAATTAGCTGGGCATGGTGGCACATGCCTGTAATACCAGCTACTTGGGAGGCTGAGGCAGGAGAATCGCTTGAACCCAGGAGGTGGCGGTTGCCGTGAGCTGAGATCTCGCCATTGTACTCCAGCTTGGGCAACAAGAGTGAAAAACTCTCTCTCAAAAAAGAAAAAACAGCCACAGTCTCTGCTTCAGGAGGATTTAGATTCACGCAGTATATGGGTTGCAAACTCATAGTTAGGACGTACATATATAAGAAATGGGGCTGTGGCAGTGATATCAGTAGACCCCCGTGCCTGGCTGGAGAAAACAGAGACAACTTGGCCCCAGTAGGTTGTTACCTTCTGGGAATGAGGACCATTGTTGCCAAATCTTGCTTCTTAAGAGAAGTTAGCAACTTGATTATGTAGTATCTCCCAACTTGTAAGAACGGACAATAAATGTAAATTAACAAAAGAAATGCTCTGTGGGCTAAAAGCAACTGCATGTTGATGGTTCCTAGAAGTGCCAGTCAACTGCTTGACATGCTGGCTAAATATCTCCAATTCTCCACTGTTCAGATGGCCTGAACAGATGTGGGCAAAGTTTACTTGTCAATTGATCTTTAATTCTTGGCTCCCCCATGAAATGCACAGAATTTATAAGCTGGGAGCTTGCAGGGCAAATATGAATGTTAGAGACTATCTCTTCAGTGACACAGAGGCACAAATAGGACCAATGGGGTAGATAGGCCAGGACTCATATGACAAGGGTTTAGACAGCTACCTTTTGCCAGAAAACAAGGACACTATAGAGCACAGATAGGTGAAGAGTTTAACACAATTTATTTTATGCTTAAATAATCGACTAGGTCATCCAGTGTATGGTTTTTCATACATATGTCATTAGAGTTATGTGTCAATGAATGCTGATTTTATATGAATATAATCAACAAATTAAAGAATTTCACCAAAACCCAAATAAAAATGCCCTTTAAAACACAGCAGCCTTGTTAACCTAATATGACACTGCTAGAATGGTTACAAATGATTGGCTTACTGAAATGTGTCTACATCTTATAGCCAGTACACAATACAGTAATAATTTTACAGCGTGCTGCCATTCTACTAGCTAAGGATTTCTGTTCAGTCCATTTTAAATACCCCCGACTGGGGCCTCTTATGAGCACCATCCACCTCTAAAGCGGCAAGCATTTACCCCCTTTTAAGCACTAACAGATAGCACCCCCCCAACCCCTAAAGCAACTACCGTATAGGTTATTTTTTTTGTTTTTAGGTCATTTCATTGAAAAATTGGCAATAGCAACAAATATTAGATGAAGGGCTTTGTGTTTACAGATAAAATCTTTTGTGTTGCAGTATACTGTAGTGTTTGCAAAATTGGAAAAGATTTAATCAAAATAAGGTGATACACATGCATCAAAATATTAGTATTCTGAAGAAAAAATTTTTTCACAGAACTACAGAATTCCTCATTTTGGGAATTATTTAAATTTGCAGCAGATTTTAAAGATTTGTTTTTTTTTAAAATCAAGCTAGCAGTTTTGCATATACAAACATTATAATTGCTAATATACAAGAGTCAGTGAAGAGTCCCCCCCACCACCCACCCAGAACCCCTCCCTCCTCTTCTAGGGTGAAGTCACTTGAGACCCCTATTTGTTAAATGCATTTGCAATATTCTGTGTTCTAAGAGGCAGTGCCTTATCAACATTTTATTCTATTTTTGTTAGAATTTATACAGTGTTATTATTTACAGCAAAACTATCGATGTTTTAAAAAAGAAACAAATAGTGTTTATACCCTGACAGTTTGGGTCCAAGAAAAATAAGGCGAGCTGTTGTAGATTTAGTAATTTTAGTGTTTCTCTGTGATTTGATCATTTCATCTCCTCTGTTCCTTCTGATGGCAGGAATTTCTTCCTTTTGTAAATGACACCAAAATCACATGAGATAAACTGTTAACAGCATGGCTTCTTGTATATACACTGCATTGCTAATTGCGCACGTGCCAATCCGGAAATGAAAGTGATTTCCATGCTCTGTAAATTGGCTCATGCTAAATTAAAATAGGTGGGTTTTTTTTCTTTTCTTTTTGCATAAAAAAAATCATGCCATTAATGTGTGGAAGCAGCGAACATACACACGCTTCTTGGTGAATTCTTACTTCCTGCTGACATTTCTTCCATGAATTTCTCAATACTGGCAGTAAAAACTTATGATCCTGTGGAAAGAGAGACAGTAGATAGCCAGTTTAGCTTTTTCTTTTTCTTTTTTTTTCTCTCTCCCCCTGCCCTTTTTTTTTTCTAAGAGAACCAGTGTAAGCCTTACTTGCCATTCAATAGAAAAGTCTTAGAGAATAGGGACCCTCTATTCCCTACGGGGTGGTTTTACATGATGCTGCTACCTGCTAGATGCCTTAGAGGACAAGGCCCTAAGGTGTACTGGAAAGCTCTTAGAAGGCAGTGACCTTATGTATGTGACCCTGTGACCTCCAGAGAGCCTTGCTTATTACTGTATTTGAGTTTTGTAATTGCACCAGACAAACCTGGTTTAACTTTTATGTGACAAAGTTGTGAGTTGTTTTTGGGTTGCCATAGACCCTCCCCGAGCCCCCACAGATGGAAGGTCACATAACCTGAGCATGCCCAGATAAACTAAATGTGCAACCATGGGAGGAACCTAAGTTCTCAGACTGAGGAGCTGATTAAGAAGCCTATGCCTCATGGCAGGATCCAATCAGATAGAGCCCTGGCGTCACCTCATTGCAAGAGCCAATCAGATCATGCCTCATAACCCTATGCTTCTAAAACCTGACCCAGCCCCCAGCTTGGAGAGACAGATTTGAGTGGTTCCTCCAGTCTCCTTGTCAGTCAGGTGGCCATACACCTTTCTCCCGCAAAAACCTGGTGTTCGGTGTTTGGTGTTTGACTTTCCATTGTGCATGGGCAAACACCTAGTTTGGTTTGGTGACGGTTTTAGAGATTGTGTTGGCAAGACCTTCTAGTTCTGTCTGAAGCTCAGGTCACTCAGCTGCTGGGGGACGCCGTTTGTAGCCCTTTGGGCCTTAGTCTTATCTGTAAAATGAGGTGGCTGAAAGAGGGGGTTGGGACTTCCATGAGCAAAAAGGGCCAGAGATATGGAGTTAGTCTAGAGCATCTCGGCTATTTCTGATTATTTTGTAAGTCTCTCACTTCTCCAAAAATTCAACTAAAGGAAGAAAAGTGTCACTACTTCATTATGATGACATTTCTTTTCCATAAGCAAATTAAAATTAAAGACAAACCTCTATCACTGCAAAGAACGTTCACTTCTCCTGTCCATATCAGTCATAATGGGACAAGCTAATTTTATTTGAACTTTTTAATGGAGGCTTCACTGAGAAAGTCTTGTTTTGCTGGAGGATTCCTGCATAAAGCATCAGTGTTTTATTTCCATTCTTATTGTGTCAAACTAAATCAATTTTTGGCAGAGGTTTTCATACTTTTGTGTACTATTGCTGTGATATGAATTTGGCTTTTCCATAAAACAAAGTACTTCCTATATATTGTCTCTCCTCCTTGTTCAGTATGAAAAGCTGACAAACTTGAGAACAAGATGCAGCTCCTACAGAAATCCTGAGTAAGGCAAGAACAATTTTAAGAATAATTCTGCTCACTCACATATAAGCAATGAACTGTATTTGCAGATCTAGGACAACCTTTAGAATTCTGCTTCTCTTGGGGCCCAAAAGTGTTTCTAGTGACCTTGAGGATGTTTACTTACCTCAGACAAGTATCTTCCTCTTTAGATGGGTCACCTAGGACACCCTGGCTTATGGAAACCTGTTGGCACAGCACTTCCTCTCTTTGCCCCACGACAGGCCCTGGCTTCCTTTTTAGTATTAAAAGTGCTACTGACCTCCATGCCCCAGGTCACTAATGCTTGGGGCCAAGAACATGAAGGTATCAATTCCTCTTATGTGATTTCAACACCCCTCCCTGTGACTGCTGAGGTTCCAAAGAAGGAAAGTGACTCACTTGGGTAGATCATCTTGCAGAGGATGGGCAAATCAGAATATGATGATCAGGATTTCCTCACCTGTTTTTATCATTTAATCCTAATCTTTTAGGCACCAGACTTCTTAGATGGTTCTATGATAATGTTACCACAGTGCCTCACTCTCTGTTTTCTCTAAGCCCCTCTCCCTGACTTTTTGAAGCTTGATATATAATATATATACCATATTTCCGCTATTATACACAGCTTTATTCTTTTTAATTTTTTTATTTTTTTGAGATGAAATCTCACTCTGTTGCTCAGGCTGGAGTGCAATGGCATGATCTCTGCTCACTGCAACCTCCACCTTCTGGGTTTAGGCCATTCTCCTGTTTCAGCCTCCTGAATAGCTGGGATTACAGGCATGCACCACCACACCCGGCTAATTTTTTGTATTTTTAGAAGAGACAGGGTTTCACCATGTTGGCCAGGCTGATCTTGAACTCCTGACTGCAAATGGGCCATGGTACCTGGCCTGGCTTGATATTTTTTAACAAATTTATGTAGATGTGTGATCATCACTACAACCCACTTGAACTTTTCTTTCTCTCCATGTCTCCTAAAAGCCAATCCAACTTTCCAGATTAATTTTGTAATAAGTAGCCAGGCCTTTCTCATCTCAACTCAGTGCAAGCAAATGTTATCTTTCTGGATATATTGGATATATTTCTATAATTTAAAAAAATGCCGTGAATTATGCCCACTTATATTCTAGTGAGGATGGTTTGGGTGATTTTTTTTAAGTGGGAGTTAGTTCCTCTTATAAGTTTTTCTTTTCTTGGTTATGCAATCAGAGCATGCTGGTTCCAACCACACTGGGTACGGGAAGGTCATTCATTTGACAAAATACTTTATTCCAAGTACAGTGTTGCAGAAAAAGCAGGAGAACCTTGGCTAAGTGACTAGGTACTTGTTATAAAACTATTGATACAGTATAAACTGTGATGACAGCGCCATCTGATGGGAAGGTGTGAGGGCAGAAGCCATCAAAATGACATTTCAGAAATAGGATTTTCAATCATTTCCCTTTTCTGGTTTAGATAATGAATATGAGATAGATGCACCTGCATTCATGAATCTTTCTTTGGGTTTTGTATGACTTTCAAACCTAAAGGTGGGAGAAACTAAATCAGAAAACCAGTCTTTCCTTTCAGCCATTTCACTGTATTTTTAGGAAACATTTAAAAGTAGAAGAAAACAGGGTCAGCCAGAGTGGCTCATTGCTATAATTCCAGCACTTTGGGAGGCCAACGGGGGCGGATCATCTGAGGTCAGGAGTTTGAGACCAGTTTGGACAACATGGTGAGACCTAGTCTTTACTAAAAATACAAAAATTAGCTAGGATGGTTGTGGCTACCTATAATCCCAATTTAGGAGACTGAGGCAAGAGAATGGCTTGAACCTGGGAGGTGGAGATTGCAGTGAGCTGAGATCATGCCACTGCACTCCAGCCTGGATGACAGAGCAAGACAGTCTCAAAAAAAAAACAAAACCAAACCAAAAAAAAAAAAAAAAAGAAAACTGCAATTCATTGGATTTTCATGGCAGTTGATACTTTACAGTTAAATATGTACTTCATACACCATATTTAAGGATAGGAGACCCTTTTTAAAGCTAGGCATTCTGACCTGACAAAGAGGAGCATGCTCTGGTACAGAACCGACTTGTCTTTTGTAGGTCAATGGACATAGCTGTGGCTTTTAGACCCTACTGCCTAGCTTTAAAAAGGGTCTCCTATCTTTATTTGGCATCTGAACCTTTCTGTGGTCCAGCCCAGTGAACTATTCTCCACTGAAGAGTTGTTTTGCCATCTCCAGTGGTTCCCAAACTTGGTTGCACATTAGAATTATCTGGGAAGATTAAAATAATAACAATATCCACGCTACATCCCATGAGTATACATAGAAGTTTTTGGGATGGTGTGCAGCATTAGAAATTTTTTAAAACTCTTGAGAATTTGGCTGGGCATGGTGGCTCACACCTATAATCCCAGCACTTTGGGAGGCCAAGGTGGGTGGATCACGAGATCAGGAGTTCAAGACCAGCCTGGCCAAGATGGTGAAACCCCATCTCTACTAAAAAATACAAAAATTAGCTGGGCCTGGTGGCAGGGACCTGTAATTGCAGGCTCTTGGGAGGTTGAGGCAGGGAATTGCTTGACCCTGGGAGACCGAGGTTTCAGTGAGCTGAGATCGCACCCAGCCTGGGTGACAGAGAGACTTCGTCTAAAAAAAAAAAACTCTTGATAATTTGAGAGCCAGTCAAATGTTGTGGAGCAGTGCTTCTCAAAGCATTACACAGGACTCTTCCAGTGTAGATTCTGATTCAGTAAGTCAATGTTTCTGAAATTCTGTGCTTTTTTTTTTTTTTTTTTTTTTTTTTTTTGAGACAGAGTCTCATTCTGTCGCCCAGGCTGGAGTGCAATGACACAATCTCAGCTCAGTGCAACTTTTGCCTCTTGGGTTCAAGCAATTCTCCTGCCTCAGCCTCACCAGTAGCTGGGATTACAGGCATGTGACACCATGCCTGGCTAATGTTTTGTATTTTTAGTCTGTAAAATATTTAACCTGTAAAATACAAAAAATTAGCCAGGTGTGGTGTCATGTGCCTGTAATCCCAGCTACTGAAATCTCTGAAATCACAACAGGGTTTCACCATGTTGGCCAGGCTGGTCTTGAACTCCTGACCTCAGGTGATCTGCTCTGCTTGTCTCAGCTTCCCAAATAGCTGGGATTATAGGAGTGAGCTACTGCGCTGGCCTGAAATACTGTGTTTACAACAGACTTTTAGGCATACTGATACTGCGGTCCACAAACCTCACTTTGAGGATCTAGATTACATGCCAGGTATCAACTCCAAATTGTTTTCTACTTCATTGTCTTTGCTCATGATTTTGTATCCATCTATACTTATACTTCCCTTCTCTGATCATCGTCTGTGGCTAATTCCTCTGCTACCCTTCAAATGTGTTTCAAATGCCATCTCCTTGAATGTTCAGGCTTCACTGTCCCTAATGAAATCCACATTTGTAGTTCAACTCTTACTCATCTTTAAGTCTTAGCTGTGTCACGGCTTAAGGAAAGCCTGAGCCCAGTGGGGACAGGGCGGTGTTTACTCTAGTTCTCTGTTTCTCTCCCTACCCCCCTCTCCCTTTCCCTTCTCTTCTCTTTTTCCTTCTCTGTAGTTACAGAAGTTATGGGACTAAGACATTTTTCCAAACATGAATTTTAATTACTTTATGTAACTATAATAAACTACTGTGCAGTTTCAGGTAGCTTCGTTGTTTCACTAGTACCAATAAATAGAGCTTTTTTGTTTGTTCTTTTCTAGTCACTTGCGATTAAAAAGTATCTGAAGTCAAAGGACTGGGAAAAAATACTGGAAAAATGTTCACTCATGTTTTGGCAGTGAAAGAAAAATCTAACAGTAATAAAATTTTGTAGCTATTATTTTTATTAGGTAAAGATATTTATGCTAAACTGTTCTAAAGTGGGTCAGCTAATTTAATCCTAATAAGTGAGGTACTATTATTTTCTCCATTTTATAGATAAGAGAGCCACAAAGCTTTTTTTTTTTTAATTAATTTTTTTCAAGAGAGTCCTGCTCTGTCACCCAGGCTGGAAGTACAGTGCCACGATCTTGGCTCACTGCAACCTCTGCCTCCTGGGTTCAAGCGATTCTCCTGCCTCAGCCTCCTGAGTAGCTAAGACCACAGGTGTGCACTACCACGCCTGGCTAATTTTTGTCTTTTTAGTACAGATGGGTGGGTTTCACCATGTTGGCCAGGCTGGTCTCTAACTTCTGACCTCAGGTAATCTGCCTGCCTTGGCCTCCCAAACTGCTAGGATTACAGGTGTGAGCCACTGTGCCTGGCCAAAAAGAGAGCCACAAAGCTTTAACTAGCAAGCTCAAAGTTATGCTGTTAATATATAGTGGAGCCAGAACTGGACATCAAGCCCTTGCTCTTACCTTGAAGCCAAGGCTTTTGTTAATAGGGATTTTTTAAGGGTAAGAAAAATATAATATAAAAACTCTATATTTATTTTAGAAGAAATCTGGTAAAATATTCTGGAGAGTGGGGTCCTGAATTTGTAGTGAACCAATTCAGGCCATAGCTCTGACCTCCGAGAATCAGAATCAGGAAATCCAGACCTGTCATTAACCGCACTCAGCCTTAGAGATTTTGCTCTCTCTCTGTTACTGTTCATTCCTTAGTAAAGAGGAACAAGAATACATTTCACTAATTTCCTAGGGCTGCTATGAGAAACAAGTGATGTGGAATAATAGAAACGTTTCTGAAGTGTAAGACACCATCACATGCAGAGGATTTCAGACACTTCTCCCACTGTTGTATTCTAGCATCACTGGCTGCTGCTCCATAATCCAAAGCTCTTCAAAGTTCTATTTTTGGTTCTCTTAATACTAGCAGTAATAGCTGACACTTCCTGAGTGCTTACTAAGGAGGGTAATGATTGGAGCTCTGCAGGAAGGAAGAGGTCAGAGGCAATCTTTTTAACTCTGAACTGTTGCTTTTGAGGACTCAATTTTTAAGTCCCTTCTTGGCTTACTTCAACTTTCTCCCTAAATAATCACATCTATTCTCTGGTGTTCAATTCCCATTTCTTTTGTGACGATTCCCACATTTTTATATGCATAGACCCAACTTTTTCTCAGAGCTCCAGACTTGGGTATATAACATAAATACTTGGATGTCTCATAGCATTTCAAACTCAAGTCCAAGCCTGAATGCCTGTCACTCTTCTTAAAACTCATTCCTCTTCCACTTCTGCTTCTTTCTCTATCATCTAGTTGCTTACACCAGAACTCTAGGAGTCATTTTTGACTCAGTGCTTCTCCACTCTACCCCACAAGCTAATCTATCAAGTGCTGTCAATCTTCCCAGCCCAAGCCATCAATAATGGCTTAGTTGAACTGAAGCAATAACCTCCAAACTGGTTACCTTCATTTTATTCTTGTCCCCCTATCCATTTTCTGCATAGTCCATGCTCTTCAAGTTTTTTAAGAGAGGGAGGAAAGAAGACCAAGTTAGGTCCTTCCTTAAAATCCTTCAAAGGCTTCGAATACTTTTAAACACACACACAATTATTTTAAGTTCAAAGGTACATGCGCAGGTTTGTTACAGATTATTTTGTCATCCAGGTACTAAACCTAGTACCTGATAGTTACTATTTCCTATCCTCTCCCTCCTCTCACCATCCATCCTCAAGTAGGCCCCAGTGTCTGTTGTTTCCCTTTTTGTGTCCATGTGTTCTCATCATTTAGCTTCCACTAAATTAGAACAGCAGTATTTGGTTTTCTGTTCCTGTGTTAGTTTACTCAGGATAATGGCCTCTAACTCCATCCATGTTCTGCAAAGGACACAACCTCACACTTTTTTAATGGCTGCCTGGTATTCCATGGTGTATGTGTGTGTACTGCATTTTCTTTGTGCGGTCTAGCATTGATGGGCATTTAGGTTGATTACATGTCTTTGCTATTATGAATAGTGCTGCAGTGAACATACCTGTGTATGTGTCTTTGTGATAGAACAATTTATATTCCTTTGGGTATATACACCCAGTAATAGGATTGCTGGGTTGAATGGTAGTTGTGTTTTTAGCTCTTTGAGGAATTGCCACACCACTTTCCACAATGGTTGAACTAATTTACACTCCCATCAACAGTGTATAAATGTTGCCTTTTCTCCACAACCTTGCCAGCATCTGTTATTTTTACAGGCAGTGAAACTACATTACTTCCTAGTTCCTTCCCTCAGCACTCCACATACCAGTGTTCTGGTAAGCAGGGAACTGCAGATGCATGAAAGTGAAAACTAGAATCTGTTTGCTCTTTCTTACTACTTTAACCTGTGGGGCTAAGAGGACTGTAGGTGAACTAAAGAAATGATTTTACTTTACCTTACAGACTATAGAGGACTTTTTTCCCCCCACCCTAAATGGCCTTTCTAAATGTAGCTAAGTAGAAAGAAATAGGACAAAGTAAACCATAGAATACAGTGTAAAAGGGCTGGACGCAGTGGCTCACACTTGTAATCCCAGCACTTTGGGAGGCCGAGGCGGGCGGATCACGAGGTCAGGAGATCAAGACCATCCTGGCCAACATGGTGAAACCCTGTCTCTACTAAAATACAAAAAATTAGCCGGGTGTGGTGGTGCACGCCTACAGTCCCAGCTACCTGGGAGACTGAGGCAGGAGAATCACTTGAACCTGAGAGGCAGAGGTTGCAGTGAGCCGAGATTGCACCACTGCACTCAGCCTGGCGACAGACTGAGACTCTGTCTCAAAAAAAAGAAAGAAAACAATGTAAAGGAAAACAATGTGACCTATAAAGAAAAGTCCAGGCAAATGTAAACAAAGCTCACTTACTAAACATTTAACTTAACAAACAATAGTGTCACTAACCTATTTTTTCCTTTTGTTTATATGAAACACTCGATAGATACGTCAGTCATTTAATGTAGACTTGGAAACTCACTTTATTTCCACCAAAATTATAACCTCAGATGCTGTTCTGCTAAAATGGTGAAAGGCTGGATCAATAAAACTCTCAGAGTATATCTGTAAGAATTATTTGTTGCCAAATAGTCTTTCTGTTAGATTGCATAAGGCTACCGTATTTCATAGTGAGCCTTTACTCATCATTATTTATATTTGATTCTGCAAACATAATTTACAATTAAATTGCTGCCTAATTCGTGAGGAGAAAGTGAACGGACCGTGAAGCCAAAGTCAAGTTTTAGTGTTTATATGTATGCAAACATAAACAGAACTTGAACAACTTCGTATTTGATTTTCAAAGCTGGAATTCAGTGAAAAAGGACAGGAAAAAATCGGAATCATTTATTTAGTGAAACTTGTAAGTTTCACAGGAATTTAAGTCCTACTGTTGTTGATATGAACACACGTCACCTCGACTGACCGTTCGCTGTTACGAGTGGCTCTTCTTTTCCACATGCCGGATTTCTTTCTTCGCTTTCACCTTAAAAACTTCTCCCTGCTTTAAAAGGAATGTACATATTAAGATTTCATAGTGAAAGAGTTTTAATTATAAAGCAGTCCCATTCTGATCCTTGGAGGCTGGAATAGGAGAAATGATATAGTTTAAAGCACGTTGTCACTTCATCTCCAAAAATACATACAATCTATTTGGCTTAACCACACAGTTTAGCATCATCAAGGCAAGCTAGAGAGCACTGTCAAATGAATACAACATAAGTGCTTGACAATAATTCAGTAGGTTAGTGATAAATCAAAATAATGAGCAGCCTGTCCATTTCCTATAGTAAGCTAAAAGAAAGTCACCACAGCTCACAAGGCACCCTTTTTTTCTTAACAGAAAACACAAGAAGACTTTTCAATTTTCTGATGTACTACTTCCGATAAATTTTCCGTTTACTTTTTCTAATGTAAACATAGTCTATCCAAGTTTCTGTTTTTAATAAGGAAAGGATAAAGACTAGAAACATGTGAAAAATAACCAGATATGATTTCTCTGACAGATAGGAGTTGGCTGGAGGGATTCTTTAACTGGTACATGGGAAATGAGCTGTTAAAACCCAAAGAGGGGAACCCCCTCCTCAGATTAGGATGGGGGAATTCAGATTTAGAACATGTTGGAAAGGGAAAATGTATGGATCTGATGTGCAGATCTTGAACTGAGCCTTTTGCCATACTAACTTTAAAGTCTGTGCGTTTGTAGTGCTCTCCACCCCTGTCCCAACAGACACTCAGCTGACAGCCAAGCCCTAGGTGGGGCTGAGGCACTGCTCAGATGTTTGGTGGTGAAGGGTCAAGGATTTTATCTTTTTTCTCCCTCAAACTGGCACATTCTGTCCCCCATAAATGACCTTATCTTTGTGAAAACTCTTAAAAAAAAGTAACATTAAAGAATGTTAGGAAGAAAACTATTTTTCTTTGACCCTGATCAAATGCATAAGATGTCAGAAGCAGCAAACACTTCAAGATGCCACACTGCAGATGCCAGCCTGTTAGCAGCAGTTTCTAGGGAGCGCACAAAGCTTTTGTCCTCTCCATTCTCCTTGGCAGTCCCTCTCCATTACCACATCATGTTTTCTCTCTTGTGGGATAACAATTCGTCTTAATACTTTCCGAGTGATCTGTAGGAAGCAATGGTGAAAAGTAGAGATTTTTCTGTTTCAAGAGGTGACACTACAGCACAAAAGTAGCAGGGTTTTTAATGCAGAAAATTTAAATTTCAAGAGAAGCACAAAATCTGAATGATGATTACTTTTCTGGTGACGAGGTTGCCTTCTTCATCGGTAAATTGTTCTTCTGTGACAGATTCACCAGGAATGTTTTTTGCTTCCTCTCCCTAAAGGATGTGGCATAAAAGTTAGCAACATACTAAATGGAGAAATCTCCACAGCACTCCAAACACCACGTACATGCTCTGGAATTTTAGAGGAAAAAAGTTGTAAATTCTACTTGCTACTCCAGTGCAAGAGGAAAGCCTACCTTCACTGACAGTTATTCAGCAGTCAACAGCATTCAAGCATTAAACCTCAAGTACATATAAAAGTGATGGTAAGCAACAAATTCCAGAAGGAAGAATTTGAAAATACATAATTATAGGATGCGGTTACATACTGGAAACCAAAAGGCTTCATGTGTTGAAACAAATTTTAGCCAATGATTAGAGCTCTGATTAGATTGTCTCACTCTGAGCACTGTTTCTTCATGAGTTCTACCAAATCTCTAGAGATGTTTGTGGATTGAGTTTTATCTAACTTGAACTAAGATAGTACCTTAGTTTGGGCATGACATTTATCACTCTGGTATATATCACTTAAGATAATATATACATTTCAGAAGATTTTGAGAAAAGTTCAGGGTACAGAGAGAATCTTGTTTTAAAGACTGAATCTTTCATAACTCTTAAAATAAGTGAGAATAACGGTGTCTGATATATGTACATAGTTTATACGCTGAAGTATCTTCATTACCATAGGCAAAAAAATAGATGAAATCAATACCAAGGGAATTTAAGATTATATCTTCTGATCTTTGTACCCACATAAGAACACAAAGTTGCTTTGTAATAAGAAAAAAGAATGAGAACAAAATAATAATGTTTTAGTCTTTATTCTGTCATTTTAAACCAGAACTGCCTCTCTATTGGCTGGAACATATGGCAGTCATAGAATGTGCTCACCATTGGCTGGGATTGACAAAATTACCAGAGCCACTATCCTTTACATTCCAGTAACACAGAGTTAGAATCTGGCTTTCTGATTTGTTATCTAATTTTGAGGGGGAAACTGAAAGGTTTTACTCTGAGTTTTAAAAGTAGAATACATTCTTAACTCCCCAGGGTGGGTGCCTACTTTCCTGTTCATAGACAGCTTGGTGGATTTAGATGGCTCCATAGTATCTCTCCACTAACTCTATGATTGTATCATAAGACACACTGCTCAGCAAAGGTAGCGCCATATCTGCAATACATTACCTTCATTTGTGTTCAACTTATATTTGTGCCACTTATATTTGGGAGAACAAGGATAAACATCTTAAGGATGGACTTTTGTTTCAGGAACCTATGATCTATCAGTCAAACTTCTTACTGAAAAGGTGAAATGGATAATGTTGCCTGGCAGTGTACAGATGTGGCTTTGTTTTGTTTTAGGGAAAATGGCCAATCACAAAGATAGCTGCCTTCCTGGGAAAGTGAGATTCTAACTCTTTGTGTTACTGGAATGGAAAAGATAGTGGCTCTGATAATTTCGTCAGTGCCAGCCAGTGGCGAGAACATTCAGTGATTGCCATATGTCACAGTTAGCAGAAAGGCAGTTGTGCTTCAAAATAACAGAATAAAGACTAAAACACTTGTTTTGCTAACGAAGTTTTGTTCATTCTTTGTTCTTATTACAAAATGATTTTGTGTTCTTACAGACTGTGGGTGCATAGTTCATCACAATGAGTGGGACATTTAACTTGTTTTTCCTCACTATGGTATACACGTGGAATGAACATAAAGTGTTTCTTGCTCTTTTTTAGTGCATCCCCAATCTTGCTTATAACAAGTTGAATCAGCGCAGTGAAGAGAGGGGAAAATAAAAATACTGGAAAAATGTAGAGGTCTTGTATAAATGCACTAAAATTTACAACAAGTTTTTCATGGGAGTGTTATTTGTATTTTTTATGGTTGGTGGTTTCAAATGTTTGGAATAAACTCAAAATTTTATTTCAAAACTGAAGTCATAAAGAAAGCAAAAAAGCCAATAAAAAGTGATGAAAGTTTTCATTATAGTTTAAACATGAATGACAAATATTTTTGAGCTAACTTTTGGAAATGTCCAGTTCTTCGAGCGATAGATAATTGGACCCAAGAAAGTCCCTAAAATGGTATCCTACTGGGCAGGTAATGAATGAATTGAATCCTTTTGTGGGAAAAGATATCAGCTAATTTTTAAATTGTTTGGACAGTCTCTGAAATGACTGTGCAGTAGGCGTATGTATAAGCATAGTGATTACATACAAGTATATTGACTGAGTAATAGGCTTACAAAAAGCAAAACCCTACTTATAAATAATAAGCCAAAATAAACAGGAGGAACAGATTAGATAGGAGTTGATTAAATAGATAGGGAAGACAGTAAGGAGTAATAAAATATGCTTTGAAAAAATTTATCCATCTTTAATTCTGTCAAATATATAGAGACCAAATGTTACCTAGGAGAGAGCTCTGTGGCCTCTCTTCAATGGGAAAAAGGAATCTCAATGAGTTTTTAAAGTTCTTGAAAACACTTTGTACTTCTAAGTAAACAAAACTGTCCCCGTGGTCTTGTCGACAATATTCTTGGAAACCCTCTATCCTTTCCCCATGAAGATTATAAAGGAAAATTATAGAACACGTGGTATTAACATTTTCCGCTACGGTGACTGCCCTAATGAAAATTACCTGTAATTCCTTTTGAACTCCTGCTAGAAGCACTGCATTTTGTAACTTTTATTTCTCTGTGAATTTTTGAAAAAAGTGGAAGAGTGGCAATATGAAATGTACCTATTTGCTTTGATGTATGCATTAAAACTTGAATTGTCCAAAAATAGGATTGTTGCGATCTATTTAACAAAAGGCAAGTACTAAGCAATATGAATAGTATTACCCATTTTTATATTCTGAGAAAGCTAGCTGAGGATGTTTGTACATGTACTATCTATACTTCTATGTGTGTGTAAAAACAATCCAAAGCTTATGAACAGTGGTTACCTCTGGGAAAAGGAACAAATGAATAGAGCTTACCATAGGTTTAAACTACCTGATTTAGGGGAAACATACATGTAAGCTCTTATTTAGAAAGACAGTAAAAATGTTGACAATTTGAAATAAAAATGCAGTTGTACTTTATAGTAAAAATCCAGTTATTTGAATTTTATGAAACTTTACAATAGTCTGGTTGTGTGTTGGTTTAAAGTTTTTTACCTTTGCAGTCACTGGATTTGCTTAGCAAATAAGATAAACTCAGGACTGGTTAGTAATTTAAATCGCTTCTAAGCATTTGAAACCCTTGTGATATTATCAAATTATATAGAGATTAAAATTTTATCAGCATATTTATTTAAGTCCCATGACAAATGGGATAATTTGTTAACCTGACTCATTCTATAGGAATTTGGAAACATTAAATGTTAAAAAACAAAAAAAGGTTAAAACTTCATAGAAAAAGAATGGATCCTTTTTGAAAGTCAAGAGAAAAATCACCATCACCTCATTTATTGTACAAATGGAATTCTAAGAAGACAGATTTGCCCAGATTTTGGCATTCCAATCCTTAGCATACATACTGTTTCCTTTGGGAGATACTTCCCAACCAGAGGTAGCTCTGGGAGGGATGAAACAACCCCAGAATAGTTTTCAGAACTGGGATACTAAGTGCTAGGGGGCTTACTATGGCAAACAGTATTAATTACGCTGGGTCAGTCCAGGTTTGGACAGCATCCATGAGGTAGGTCAAATTCCCAGCATTCCAGCCTCATTTC